TTTCATAGGCTATGCACAGAATAGTAGTGCATATCGTTTTCTTGTGCATAAATCAGACATTCCTGATATCCATGTCAATACAATTATTGAGTCAAGGAATGCTTATTTCTTTGAGGATATATTTCCTTGCAAAAATCCTCTTAAAAGAAATTATGATACTGCTAATAGCAATATACAAGAGAATATAGACCAAGAGTCTATAGATGATGAAAATGAGGAAGAACCTAGACGTAGCAAAAGAGCTAGAACGTCTAAGTCATTCGGTCCTGACTTTCTGACATATATATTGGAGAATGAGCCACAAAGCTACAAGGAAGCTATGTCTTCTCCTGAAGCTAATTTATGGAAAGAAGCCATAAATAGTGAAATTGAATCCATCATGCAAAATCATACTTGGGAGCTGGTGGATCTTCCTCCTGGTACTAAACCTTTAGGGTATAAGTGGATTTTCAAGAGGAAGATGAAGCCTGATGGTTCAATTGAAAAATATAAAGCCCGACTTGTTGCTAAGGGATATAGGCAAAAAGAAGGCCTGGATTATTTTGATACATATTCACCAGTCACAAGAATAACATCCATTAGATTGTTACTAGCTATTGCAGCACTGCAAAACTTAGAAATACATCAAATGGATGTTAAGACTGCCTTCTTAAATGGTGAATTAGAGGAGGAAATCTATATGGAACAACCTGAAGGGTTTATAGTTCCAGGGAAAGAAAAGAAGGTGTGCAAACTTGTAAAATCCTTATATGGATTAAAACAAGCACCTAAACAATGGCATGAAAAATTTGACAAAGTGATGTTGTCAAATGGTTTTAAAATTAATGAGTGTGATAAATGTGTGTATGTGAAAAACACTCAAAATGGATATGTCATTGTGTGCCTATATGTGGATGATATGCTAATAATGGGTAGTAATGATGTTATAATCAAAACTACTAAAAAGATGTTGACCAAAAATTTTGATATGAAAGATTTAGGCATAGCAGATGTCATACTAGGAATTAAGATTTCTAGAACATCAGATGGTCTAGTATTATCTCAATCTCACTATATTGAGAAAATATTAGAAAAGTTTAATAAAGGGGATAGTAGTCTTGTAAAGACTCCTGTTGATGTAAATCTTCATTTATCGAAAAATACTGGTCCTAGCATATCACAACTTGAGTATTCTCGCATTATAGGAAGCTTAATGTATTTGACGAATTGCACACGCCCAGACATAGCATACTCAGTTAATAAATTGAGTAGATATACTAGTAATCCAGGAAAGAACCATTGGACTGCAATAATTAGGGTTCTAAGGTATTTAAAATATACTATAAGTTATGGATTACATTATTCTAGATATCCAGCAGTATTTGAAGGATACAGTGATGCTAATTGGATATCAGATACTAAGGATTCTAAATCCACAAGTGGCTATGTCTTTACTATTGGAGGAGGTGCCATATCTTGGAAATCTTCAAAACAAACTTGTATTACCAGATCCACTATGGAATCTGAATTTATTGCTTTGGATAAAGCAGGTGAAGAAGCTGAGTGGCTTCGTAATTTCTTAGAAGATATTCCAAATTGGCCTAAACCGGTGCCCGCTATATGTATACATTGTGATAGTCAATCAGCAATTGGAAGGGCACAAAGTAATATGTACAACGGTAAGTCTCGACATATACGTCGACGACATAATACCGTTAGACAATTGCTCTCAAGTGGGATAATCTCAATAGATTATATCAGGTCAAAAGATAATTTAGCGGATCCGTTTACAAAAGGTTTGACAAGAGAGCAAGTATATAATTCATCGAGGGGAATGGGATTAAAGCCGAAAGCTAACGAGTCATCTTAATGGAAACCCAACCTAGTTGACTGGAGATCCCAAGATCTAGGTTCAAAGGGACAACAGAAATTCTGAATGGCTCACCAGAAGCACTGGGAAGATTCAATCTTCTACCCATTTCTATGATGAGACAGTGTTACCTACAGCGATAAGTAGGATAAGCTATGCTTTTAATAACTCTTATACCTTGAAAATTCAAGTGGGGTATGGTAGGATACTCTTAATAAGAAGTCACCTATATGAGTGTGAAGTGGGGCCACTTCTATGAGAACTTCTAAGGCTAAGTTTTCTGGAGCGCTCATGAAATACCAGGCGTTGTTCAGGGCCATATGAACACAACCGTGAGAACCGACTTTGTGTGGGAAGGAATTGTGTGTTTGCTATTGTCTTGGTTTACATCAATGGCTGAACAGTTCAAGACATAATGTTCACTAGTTAGCTAGTAAATCCGATAGTAATACACTAGGGAAGGTTCAAGGCCAAAAGCTACCTATCCCGATGCAGTAACTTTCCAATAGTACTCTCTATAGTGTCTGTATCTTCTCCTTTTGTAATCTGCGAAAATTTTCATTCATGTGGGGGATTGTTGGAAACGGCATTAGAAAACGCAAACTTTGGAAGGATTATTAAAAAGATTCCGCTAAGAATTTTTTGCGAATCTATTGATGAGCGCGTTCCTCTCTGCGAGGAGATGAACGTGGTATATTTATTTTCTCAAATCCGTTTCCGGGTGAATGAGAAATTGGCTCCAAAGTAAGTGATTTATAAAGCCTAAATGGGTGTGAATAAAGTGGGAAATGCTTGTCCCATATCGAAAAAGTAGCAAAGCAACCTTGAGTATATATATGTCTAGTATGAGATTTGGGTTTGGGCTCAAGGGCACCCAAGTTTTTAAGAGGGGGAGGACCTAGGCTAGCCTGGATCCGAACCAACTACCACACACGCGCGCCGCCCGCCCGACCCGACCCGGTCCGGTCCGGGCTAGGGCGGGGCGGGGCTTGATTGTGAAATGGGTTTAACTTTTTACCCAAAGTTGGGATGGGCCTGTGTGGTTGTAATTTTATTTTGTTGCTGGACTTATCAAAATGGGCCTGTTTACTGGGCTGAATTAATGGCCGAGTTGGATTATTTGCTTGCTGGACTGGACGAAATTAAAGGGCTGGGCTGGATCAGAATTAATTTTGAACCAAGAGTTGCACCCTTTACAATTTAAAAACCACCAACAGTTTTTTAATTCTGATTGGACAACAATGGTTGCACCCATTCGGACTATGAGTGCACCCATTCAGAATAGGCACCAACAAGCCTATAAATACCCATCATTGGGTTCATTTCAATTCACACCAAATTCAGAAATCTTCTTCTCTTCTTCTGAATTTCTTCTTCTAATTCTTCTTTGTTCGGTTCAACCTAAACTGGTTTGGATTGGGTTCGAACCTTGGTTTCCAAGTTTAGGTTCAATCTTGGTCTCCGAGTCTGAGTTCATCAGAGAGTACTACACCGAGCCGGTTCGCCTATTCCATTGGTTTGAAGTGCTACTACCAAAGGAAGAAAAGTCGTTGTATCCTGGGAGATAGACGCCGAAGAGTCCGTTAGCACCGTAGCGGGGCGTATCTGTCTTAAGGCTATAGAATTAAATTCTAGCCTCGACTTTATCAGGTTCTTATATAGTTTTATTTTCTTGATATTAAACTATATAAATATATATATATATATAGATTATTATAATAAATATTATATTTACAAATAATATTTAAATAAATTATACTATAGTATATGATACATTTTTTTTTTTTTTTATTGTTAACAAATACAACATTGAAGGATCGCTGGGGTAGGTTTTTCCTCGTATATATGGTGTGCAAGTGTCTATCCCTTTACTTTACTGCACTTATCAATTGTTTATAAACTGTTATGTGATTGATATATGCTTATATGAATATCATGTTAAAATCAATTCACATATGTGCTTAAGTGTTCAAAACATGCAATTAACCTGATATTACACATTGGCTTAAAATCAATTAGGGGCTAATTGATTGTTTATTTATGTATTTATTAAATCAGATTTATTTATTTAAATAATTTATTTGTTTAAGAGTCAAGCAATTAATTGATTGTTTATTTATGTATTTATTAAATTTGATTTTATTTATTCACCCCTTTAGGTCACATCTCAATATGTTATTTAATGCGTTCTTGAATGTGGGCGGCTATAGTCCCAATTGAGACATCTTCAGTTAGACTCGTTACTTAGCTCATATCATCATCATTGTTTTGACTATCAATCTGGTTTCAATGGTGCATACAGGAATGCTTAACGTTGCTGGGGCCATGGCCCCCTTAATTTTTTTTGAAACCTTCTATTAGTAGCACATAATTTAGGTTAGTAATTGTAATTATAGTAGGAAAATTAAAGCCCTTGCTTAACGTGACGTTTGATACAAGATTGATTTTAAATCAACAGTTGCTATCGTCTATATTTCACGTGATGCAAATAGGTTAGGCCAACTCATTTTCTAGCCGCTCATGTATTTCACATTTCCTTTGTGCTTGTTGGAGATTCTCTTTATATTATAATTAGTTGGCCTGATTATTAATAAACTTTCTCTTTGAGAAGAAAAATATATAAATTTTAATATATTTTAAACACACCAAATTGTTAATAAAATTTTTTTTTGCACTCTCTCTACCCAATATTCTTGGGGTGTTTGAGAAATTTAACATTTTATAATAATGAAGTTTTAATATTTTTATTTTAGTAATACTAATGAATATTAAAAAATAAACGAATATTTCGTAATTAGTGTACTTCTTTAATCAAGTTAATGTGATGTAGACAATTTAGAAATGTTATAAAAATAAAGGATATCCATTTTTGTAATGTAACATATAGTTTGGAGCATCTAGAATATAAAATTTCAATATTATCTAAACACCAATCAAATTTCATTTCAATTCCATTTCTTTTATTTTATTTATTAAATAAAAAAATAAAAATTTGCATTACATGTTTTGGACCGCGTGGAATACGCGTCTAGGGCAACGCGGCCATCACACGAATGCGAGAACCACGCATCGGGGTCAACGCGTCTCCCCGATCTCCATCCTTTGTCCCACACTCTACGGACCCACTCGGTTTCCCCCAATCTGTTATTCACCATTACTTTCTCTCTCAACTCTGTAACGACGACTCCAACAAAATCTCGCTTTGTACGTGTAGTGTATATATATATATACACGCACACTACCCACCCTTTCTCTTAATCTGAATCTGCATTCTACGACTCTATCTCTCTAAACGGACTCTTATCTGAAAAGTGAAAATCCCTCTCTTTCTCTCTCTATCACTATTTTACACGAACTCGAAAGCAATACATAGCGATGGCGACAAACCCTAACCCGGAGCCTAGCGCCAAGCCTACGATGTATCTCCAGGACGCGGAGGAAGTGAAGAAGGTTTTCAACCGGTTCGATGCGAACGGCGACGGGAAGATCTCGGCGACGGAGTTCGCCGACGTGATGAAGGCGCTCGGATCGACCACGTCGACGGAGGAGGTGAGCCGCATGATGCACGAGATCGACACGGACAAGGACGGCTTCATCAATTTGGAGGAGTTCGCCGGTTTCTGCAAGGGTGAATCCGCCGCCGACGGCGGCGACGGTGAGCTCAGGGAGGCGTTCGATCTGTACGACGCCGACAAGAACGGGCTGATCTCCGCCTCGGAGCTGCACATGGTGTTGAACCGGTTGGGCGAGAAGTGCACGGTCCAAGACTGCACAAATATGATCAAGACGGTGGATTCCGACGGCGACGGTAACGTCAACTTTGATGAGTTCAAGAAGATGATGACCAACACCACCAAGAACGCTCCTACTCAGTAGTTGTGAAAATGGTAGGTTGATATATATATATATATATATATATAACTCGCTTTTAAGGGCTAGAGTTTCAATGGTGGTCTAAATCTAATTTAGAATCAACTGGATGGATGATTAATCAAAGTGTATATTAGTTGGTTTGAGCTTTGCTATATTTTCAATTTTACAATTGCAAGTAACATTGAAACAACTAACAACTAACCTGCTCATAGCCCTTTCCTGCATTGATGGGTCACATCTAGTAGCACTGTTTGTATAATTTTAATAAATTATGTGAATGTTATAGTAATTTTGTAAGTATTTTTTAAAATACTCCACAGTCCACACAAACGACTTGGTATTTTTTATTTTTATTTTTTGCGCTTAATTTATGTTGTGTTTAGTAGATGGTGTGGGAGGAGGAAAAAATAGGACACACTTGGTAGTCTTGAGATCGAAACAGAAAAAATAAAGTTATCGGTCATGTTTGGTTTACTGTTTTTTTTTTTTTTTAAATTGGTCATGTTTAGAAAATTATTTATCGGCAAAAATAATTTTAAAAAAATAAAGAAAATAATTATTTATGTTTAAAAAAATAATTATTTATGTTTAGAAAAAATAAAGTTATCGGAAAGTTATCGGTCATGTTTAGAAAATTATTTTAAAAAATTTATAAAAAATAGTTCTCTAAAAATAAAAGAAATAAAAAAATTAACTGATTTTTCATAAATCGATTTTCAATAACGATTTTTGTAATATTTCTTATTTTGAGTTCTTGGACAATTAAACTAACATATGTTCAAAATCTCTCTTTAATAAGAGAAAGACTCTTCCCACCGCAACCAATGCACGAATAGAATACATTATATATATACTTGTATGAATATTGTGTGATTTGATGTAGTACATGTTAATTTATTTAATTTATTATTTTTTCCTAATTTTTGAAATGTATAATACTCAAATAACACAAAGTGGGTCTTCCTCCTCCAATGGTGCAAAGTGGGTGACTACAAGGACCCAAAAAATTATGTGATGGATAGGGGCCTTTAACAACAACAAAATAAAAAAAAATCAAATCATTATATTAAGTAAAAGAATTTCACCATGTATTGAGAATTCAATTCAGTACATGTACAATTGTCCTTAATGACTTTTCATACCTTGAAACTATTGGATGGTAACTTCATTATCTATACTAAAAGATATGGATCCCCTCATGTAGTGCAAATCACAAGACCTATCATGTTTTGTTTTTGAAATATTAATCAGCTCTTAAAATAAATTTATGACAACTAATTGAAAAAAAAAATTGAAGAATTTTTAATATACATGTATTTATATATATGTTTTGATGCACGAGTGTATTTGCCTGGATGTATTGTTTCTTATTTTAAATTAGATTTATACATATGGGTTTAAGTGCACAGCCTTACTAAGGCACATACGTCTATAAATATGGTGGTTGGTAGAGAGGGGGTGGTGGTAGGAAGTTGAGAGGGGGCGGTGGTGTCCATTGTTAGAGGGTGGAGGTGTAAGAGGTGGGATCAGGATCGTCTCCGGTCTCACAGTAGTTCAGTTCCATCCGGTGGAGTAAATAAACAGTATAATTGTAGCAAGTAAAAGTTTTGTAATTTTTTATATACAAAAACTAAAGCCGTATATATTGTATATACATCACAAATACGTCGTCTCCTTCCCTTTCTTCTGAATTGCCGACTAACGGGATGGGATAGTTGATAATATTGATTTGTTTCCAAAAAGAACCAGAACTCTATTCCTTCATTCACGTGTTTTCATAAATTTCTTCAGTTTCTTCATTTACGTAGGTCATTTAATTCCAAATTAACAAGAAACATTGGAGTATAGAGAAGAGCAGACATTATTTCCTCCGTTTATTTGTTTGCTTCATGCGTAAATTGTTTGGGTTTAAAGTAGATACAAATGAGCAATTTCGAATATGTTCTGAATTGGCATGGTTTTTTTGTTTAATTATTTGTATATTGCATAACATCCCAAGCAGTTTGTAATTTAAGTCAATATAAGTTGTACGCAATATCCCAACATAATCCTACTGGATGATATGCAAATACTTTTGTCCATAACATCCAAAGTAGTTTGTAATTTAAGTCAATATAAGTTGTACGCAATATCCCAAAATAATCCTACTGGATTATAGTCATTGAATCTAATCGGAAAAACACTAGTTCAAATTATAATCAACATAATCATACTGGATGATAGTGATTGACTCTAATCGGAGAAACACTACTTCAAATTATAATCTACTTAACATCTTAAGCAATACATAATTTGATTCATACTTATGTTATACGTAAGATCCCAAGTAGTACGCATTTTATTTCATGCTTATGTTATACGTAAAATCCCAACAAAATTTTGCCAAAGAAAATAATTGCAGTACGTAATTGAGTAGGAAAATGATCAAGAACAAACATGAAGAGATAGAGAGAAGAACACTAACACAGATCGAGCTTCTTCTTCAATTCCAGAGCAACAAATTATGAATCAATGAACCAATAATTTTTAGACAAAGTGAAGAGAATTCACTGTTATCACAGGAATTCAAGTTAAACCACCTAAACAATATGAATTTGAAATGAACCAACAATCGTTCAGACAAAGGGAATAAATTTGATGATAATCAAAGGAATATCACTTGAACCCCCAAAATAAAGTGCCAGAGGCCAAGAAGAGGGAGGAAGATGACCTATAACACAAAATTGACAGTTAAATAATATTAAATTGGACCCACCTTCTCTATTAAAATAACTTATACGTTATTTTGGAAAAAATGTTCAAATTTTTTTTATATATATGGAATACAACTTGAAGAAGGGTGGTGAAAAATTAGTTACTCGGTATTTTTAATTAACATGATGCTTTCACAGCCACTTATCCCAAAAAGGAGAAAACCGGTTACTGTAAGACATGAGGATATTTTGCACCGTAAGAGGTGGAGATGGCTATGGTAACTAGTTAATAAAGTGATAGAGATATGGAAGGAGAGAGAGTAGAAAAAGAGAATAAATATAATAATGGTAAGTTTTTTATTTTTTGGAATGTTATAATAAGGGTGAGTTGTTATGCCTCAAAATGTTATAGTTTTGAGATACAAGACAATACCACCGGACCTCCTTAACAGGAGGGGATCCTAGTCCCTATGCTAAAAGATAAATCTTTTTCAATATATATTATCAAATTATCAGTTATCCATTTATCTCTCATTTCGTTACGCAAATGGTTCTTCACAATTTTTATATCAGAAAACAGTTTCTCTATAGTGGCAGTTGCAACTGGTATGATCAATCTCTTTGGGTTACAATTTTTTTTTTTGGAAGAACACTAATCTCGTTCAATCCTTCAAACCTGCTACTAGACCGTACATTCATAATATAATTCTCAGCTAGAAAGGCTTGGGTAAAAAAAAATAGTCTACAAAGAGGTTCTAGATATTAAGAAGGAGATTGTCTGGCTATATATAAGTGGGCAACGCTCCTTAAAAAATGTATGTATTTAGATTTTTCGAGAATAGTTCGATGAAACATTGTTATAGTTTATGGTCTGAGGAGACCCTTTGATTTATTAACAAAATTTGTGGTATTTCTAGAGTTTTTTTTATTGTCATGTGACAGATTATGGCAGATTCAGGGTCCTCGACTGTTGGCTCAAGTTCCGTGGGTGGTGGTGCCATTTTTCCCACCAACTCATTAGAAAATCTAGGACTTCAAATCACCACAATGAAGTTGAATGAAAAACTATTTGGATTTGGGTACAGTCTGCCAAGATGTTCATTGGTGGCAAAGGCAAGATTAGCTATATTACTGGTTCTGAGAAAGAGCCAGCTGAGTCAGAAAAGGCATATCAACAGTGGTTTGTAAATAACGCTATGGTTATGTCTTGGCTAGTCAATTCAATGCAACCAAACATAGCTATTGGCTATATGTTTATGAAGACTGCTAAGCAGATTTGGGATTCAATTCAACGCACTTATTCTCAGAGGCAGAATAATGCACGAATTTTCCAACTGGGGCAAGATATCACTAGGATTTCTCAAGGTGACTTGACAGTTTCAGGTTACATCGCCAAGCTTTGTGCCATTTGGGAGGAGATGTCATATTATGATTCCTTCCACTCTTGGAAGGATCCAGATGATGCAGTTTTATATGCAGGGATTGCGGAGAAGAATCGAGTGTTTCATTTTTTTGCCGGGTTGAACGACGAGTTTGAGTATGCTCGTGTTCATTTGTTGGGCTTATCTTCATTCCCTACTCTTGAGGAAGCATATTCCTATGTGTTGTCAGATGAGAGCCGTCGGACTCATCCATTAGATGTTGCTTCTGTTGATCGTTCTGTTATGGCAGTTCGAGTTCCCAACCTTTCAGGAAGTGCACCATCCCAATCAGTTTAGAGCTTTACCACAACACGGACGGTGTGACCATTGCGGAAAAATTGGTCACATCAAATCTTGTAATTATGGTTTACATGGACGCCCACTGCAATAGAAACAATAGTCTCGATCCTTTGCACATTCTGTTACACAACCAGTTTCGTTGTTAACTCCTAAAAACTCTGCCTCTACATCTTCTAACACAGTTACGTTGACTCAAGTTGATTTTGACAAGTTCAAGTAATTCTTCAACCAAATGGAGGCATCATCTCAGCCAACCTTCACTTATGCCCACTCAGGTACTATTGCGTCTACACATAGTGTATCTACATCTTTGACACGATAGATCATTGATTCTGGTGCTTCAGACAATATGATTGGTATATCTTTACTCTTCCAATCTTATAGTATATGCTCTGGCCATCGCAAGGTCCACCTTGCGGATGGCTCTCCATCTTCCATTGCTGGGAAGGGTCGCATATCAGTTACTCCTTCATTAACTTTGTAAGATACACTTCATGTTCCAAAGTTGACTATAAATCTTATTTCTATTAGTAGCATTACCAAACAATTAAATTGTACTGTAACGTTCTTTCCCTCTCACTGTATTTTTCAGGATCAGTTGTCGAAACGAACGATTGGCAGTGGGCGTGAAATGGACAATTTATACCTGTTGGATGCTCCTTTGTCACCTGAAGCACATTTAGCTTCATTTTTTAATATTGTTTCATCTAATAAAGCCCAGTTTGTGCGTTAACACATGCGTTTGGGACATATTTCTTTCGGTTA